TTCCAATGCGTCAAAATCTTTGGACTTCTTAAATATAAAGTATAAACCTGCTATTTAGTAGTACAGTTTAGTGGTATTTTCCTTTATTGTAAGTGAGAAATTTAGGTTCAATTCTCGTCAAAGACGTTATAGAGGAATTTGAACCACATTATTCAATTGAAAACATAAAAATTTGAGTTTTGACTCAAAATATTTTCTCCTAAAATGCAAAGACTCAAATTTTAAACATAAACATATAATAATTTTTGCGTTGAGATTGAGAGAGAGAACCAAATGATGGTGCTAACTATACACTCATTTTTACCTCTCACACACCCCTCTCAAATTTCGGTAGTTGAATTGAATGAATTGAAGAAGATGAGTAGATAAAAATTTCGTTTATTCCACTTTGTTGCCGTCCCTGTAATTTTAATTGATGAGCATGCTTTGCCCTAGATCACAAAAAAATTTAAGCAACCCTACATGTTTACTTTCACTTTTTTTTTTCTTTTTTTTTTTTTTTAAACAAATTTCACCTTCTTATTTTACAATGTTTGTAGGATTGATTGGGGGTTGCTTAAATTTTTTTAAAAGCAGCTTCTTAAAAATGTGGTGTCTTAATTATGTTTGATAAATAAAAAAAGTGTTTTTATCTTTTCAAAATCATGGATCTAAAACAGTATAAAGTATAAGCATCTTTCCATATGTTAAAAAAAAAAAAAAAAAAAAAGTTTTTCATTAAAGGCACATGAACAATACCAATTAATAAAACTTTCATATTAACAATCATCCCCTCATTTTTTTTGCTAAAAGCACTTATAGAACTATAGTTTACTAGACACTTATCTATTTTTTTTATTTTTTTTTTATTTTTTAAATTGTATATTCTCATAGCACAATAGAAATAATTAAAAAAATGGTAATTCCAAACTAATCCATGGTGTAGTGGTAAATATTTAAAGCAATTCCAGTGTGTAAGAGCTCCCCCTGGTAATAGGCAATTGAATCCCCTCCAATGAATAGTAACTGCCTTTAATGAACAGTTATTGCCTTTTGCATCTCAACCTCTAAACTGAATAGTCATAACAATAGACAATAAAATATTAGTATTTTTTATTTTATAAAATAATAAAAATAATTTTATTTGTAATTTCGGATAGGATTTTTAACTGGTCTTGTCACGCCACGTGTCATTATCCGAAAGTAGAATTTTTGGTGATAGATTTTGATAAAATTTTATCCAATTCCGTCTCGCCACGTGTCGTTACAGAATTAAAGGCACATGAACAATACCAATTAATAAAACTTTCATATTAACAATCATACCGTCATTTTATTTGCTATAAGCACTTATAGAACTATAGTTTATCAGACACTTATCTGTTTTTTTATTTATTTTTTATTTTTTAAATTGTATATTCTCATAGCACAATAGAAATAATTAAAAAAAAATGGTAATTCCAAACTAATCCATGGTGTAGTGGTAAATATTTAAAGCAATTCCAGTGTGTAAGATGTCACATCCCGGCCTGGGCGGCACCACTTCCCGGGCCCGCTCCACCACCATAGCACGATATTGTCCGCTTTGGGCCCCGACCACGCCCTCACGGTTTTGTTTCTGGGAACTCACACGAGAACTTCCCGATGGGTCACCCATCCTGGGAATGCTCTCGCGCGCTACTCGCTTAACTTCGGAGTTCCTATGGAACCCGAAGCCAGTGAGCTCCCAAAAGGCCTCGTGCTAGGTAAGGATGGGAATATACATATAAGGATCACCCCTGGGCGATGTGGGATGTCACATAAGAGCTCCCCATGGTAATGGGCAATTGAATCCCCTCCAATGAATAGTAACTGCTTTTAATGAACAGTTATTGTCTTTTGTATCTCAACCCCTAAACTGAATAGTCATGACAATAGGCAATAAAATATTAGTATTTTTTATTTTATAAAATAATAAAAATAATTTTATTTGTAATTTCAGATAGGATTTTTAACTGGTCTCGTCACGCTACGTGTCATTATCCGAAAATACAATTTTTGGTGATAGATTTCGATAAGATTTTATCCAATTCCGTCTTGCCACGTGTCGTTACAGAATTAAAGGCACATGAGCAATACCAATTAATAAAACTTTCATATTAACAATCATACCCTCATTTTTTTTGCTAAAAGCATTTATAGAACTATAGTTTACCAGACACTTATCTGCTTTATTTATTTATTTTTTATTTTTTAAATTATATATTCTCATAGCACAATAGAAATAATAAAAAAAATAGTAATTCCAAACTAATCCATGGTGTATTGGTAAATATTTAAAGCAATTCCAGTGTGTAACAGCTCCCCATGGTAATAGGCAATTGAATCCCCTCCAATGAATAGTAACTGCCTTTAATGAACAGTTATTACTTTTTGCATCTCAATCCCTAAACTGAATAGTCATGACAATAGGCAATAAAATATTAGTATTTTTTATTTTATAAAATAATAAAAATAATTTTATTTGTAATTTCGGATAGGATTTTTAACTAGTCTCGTCACGCCACTTGTCATTATCCGAAAGTACAATTTTTGGTGATAGATTTCGATAAGATTTTATCCAATTCCGTCTCGTCACGTGTCGTTACGGAATTAAAGGCACATGAACAATACCAATTAATAAAACTTTCATATTAACAATCATACCCTCATTTTTTTTGCTAAAAGCACTTATAGAACTATAGTTTACCAGACACTTATCTGTTTTTTTATTTAATTCTTTTTTTAAAATTGTATATTCTCATAGCACAATAGAAATAATTAAAAAAAAATAGTAATTCCAAAATAATCCATGGTGTAGTGGTAAATATTTAAAGCAATTCCAGTGTGTAAGAGCTCCCTATGGTAATAGGCAATTAAATCCCCTCCAATGAATAGTAATTGCCTTTAATGAACAGTTATTGCCTTTTGCATCTCAACCCCTAAATTGAATAGTCATGACAATAGGCAATAAAATATTAGTATTTTTTATTTTATAAAATAATAAAAATAATTTTATTTGTAATTTCGGATAGGATTTTTAACTGGTCTCGTCACGCCACGTGTCATTATCTGAAAATACAATTTTTGGTGATAGATTTCGATAAGATTTTATCCAATTCCGTCTCACCACGTGTCGTTACGAAAAAACTCCCTCGTCTTTGAAGCCGTCTTACCTTAAGGCCTGAGTGGATAACGGGTCGACCCTGACACTTGTTCAGGGGTCGCTTCTGGCACTTGTTTTGTGTTGCTTTTATGAACATGCGGTTCGTGATCTAGCGTAGAATGTAGAAGGGTGTTGTTCGTGACAACTTCTGGACTGATAGGCACAACTCTGAATTTGGGACAATCCTTGACAATATTCCAACATTCCCCTCAGTTGAGTGATTTGTTTTTGTTTTTGGCATTATACCAAGCTTGTTCTTGAAGTGTCTATAAAATGCGGGTTCTTGAAGTGTCTACAAAATGTGGGAGAAGAAAAAATTATAATCAAACTAGCTAATGTAAATTTGCATATAGTACAACCAAATAAAGAATATATTGTTACCTGATCCGCGTAGTTTTCCCCACTTCGAATATTAGTACTAGATTGTGCCAAGGCGTTTCTCCAATGAGTAAATGATTGGCTAAGTATTCTCCAATGACTTGAGAGCGATTGTTCAGTTCTTTTGCAGCCAATTTTCTCAAGAAAAAGGGAATAAATATTGCTCCACATTTCTCGCAACTGCATCTCATTACCTATAATCGGATCATGAGTGACTTCAACCCATCTAGAACACAGTGCAACATCTTCAATAAGCATCTAATTCGTACCTGCATCAATGGGCCATTTTTTGGAAACAAAAGCATACAGAAACTTTGAGAGAAAGATTAGTATGTGGTTGAAAGTATTTAAGAAAATATGAAAGTGTGGTGCAAGGTGGAAGATAATGATAAGGTATTTATAGAAAAATAATTTTTTTTAAAATTATTTAAATTTTTTTTGGATTTTTTAAATTTTTTTATTAACTTAATTAATTTGTACCGTTGGATTACACAAAATTTGAAATCCAACCCTCCAGATTGTGACACGTGGCAAAACGGTAACATATCAATTTTTTTTTTAATTTTAAAAGCTGAAAAACTTAGACCTTTGAACTTAATTCGAAGGGCTCAGATCGTGCCACGTCATCTAGCCGTTGGGGGAGTTTTGAAATTTTTTTTTTACCGTTGGAAATCGAACGGTCCAGAAAAAAGAGCCGTTGAAATCCAACAGCTGAAAGGGTGCCATGTTGCACCCAGTAACGACTACAAACAGCCTGTCAAGCACGGGACCCATTGCCTGCAAATCATGTCAGTGACACGTTCCCATGCGCTGTTGTGTTGCACGCGCCTGGCGCAAAATTTTAAAAACGTGGCTAACGTCAGCCTTGCATCATTCCCTTTCAGGTGCTCGGGCCTTGGATCTGTGCTTGAGCTTTCTCTCGGGCTCCCCTTCAGCCTAATAGCCCGAATAAACTAGAGCTGCATAGGTTGATGAATTGGGTTGCTGAAGCAACCAGTCCCCCTGGCGTTTAACCACGGTGGACTTGCTCTTAGTGGTGGGATTTCTACGAAAAGTAAGACTGATTGCATCAGCTTGGACATTGATTCGAGAGTCTTGTCTTTATTTTTTCCCAAAGAGCAATAATGGACAACTCACTTTATCTTATGAGTGCATTTTTGTTCACCACCATTTAGTATGGTGTTCCTATCCACTACACAAATCTTGAAATTCAAACTCATCTAACTGTAATAAATAAAGTGATGAGCATACACCACACTAAATGACGGTGAGCAAAAATACTCCCTTACCTTATGGTGTAGCTGAAGACTTAGTAGTTGCTTTTCATTTATTGGAAAAGGTTTCAAGTTCAAGAAAATTATTACTATTAATTTAACTAAATTCGGGTATCAAGTTAACTATAAAACAAGTCTAGTTCAAATATGACTTCGTGTTAACTATTAACTACTACTCTCTCTCATTCTCATATATTATTTTATACATATACTAAAACTCAGTTTTATAGCTCTGTTCATTAACAGTGAACAGATGAAAATGCCCTTGGTTTCTTATTTGTTAGTTGTGCTGTTCCCACTCTCCTACAGTAAATTGACTGTTTTGTCCATGAACGCCACACGTTGATGATCGTTGATCTTGATGGTTCCATTCCGTCTTCTTCACCTTACCTTTCAGTTTCATTTTGTATCCCTCACAAGTCTCTGCTTCTGTCCGTCTTCATGTTGCTCTCTTCCTCTCAAATCCTTTGTTGTTTTTCTCATAGAATAGTCACCAGTAAACTGGGTTTTCGTTTGTTTGGGGATTTTGTTTCCAGTCTCCTTTATGCAAATGTATTCTAGCAATGCTTATAAAGATGACTGTTAGTTTATCAAAGAAGGACTCTGGAATGGTAGAAAACACAAAAGGTTTGCAAGAATTGAGTTTTATCTGTTTTGTTTCATTGAATATAGATAGGAATTCAGAATTCAAAGAATGATAAAATTCTTACATTTTGCTCCAAAAGTTGCAATTTCAATCCTACGTCGACAAATTTCTCGGACGGCCACTTACTAGAGCTTGACATTCAGATTCAATGGCTAGATTGGCAACAAATTTATTGGGAAATGCATCTTCAAAGGTATGCCTCTGGAGCAGATTTAAAGGTAGGAATTTTCAAATGTTTCATGAAATCAATGTTTTGTCGTGGAAGGAGTTTATAATAAATTGGTTGGACACGTATAGTGTTCGTTTGGTTGAATGTAGAAAGGAATTGGAAGAATTATGAAAGTACTTGCATTTTGTTGCAGGAGTTGGAACTTCAACGCTACATGGAGGAACTTGTCATAAGTTCGGTGGCCAGAGCTTGACGTTGGCAACAAATTTACTCGCAAATGCATATTCGAAAGTATGCTTTTTTGTTGTTTCTTGGTGAAAGATTGATCAGCGATGATTGCTATTGTTCTTTCATGGTTGATTGAGCATTTTTGTTGTATGAAACTATAAAGAACAGTTGTCGAGATGCTGAGTTTTTTTTTTTTTTTTTTTTTTTTAATTTCTTGATGCATTTATGTTGACCAGGCATGGATGGACCGGTCGATACAAAACGCATATGTGGGACAATATTTGCAACAAAGAAGGGCAGAGCAGGAGGGGAAGGCAAGGTTTGTCAAGAAAACACAATGATGTTTTTAATTACAGGAAATGTGCATTTTTTTCCTAGTCAAATTCTGCTTTTGTTCTGACTATTTTCCATACCATATGCTGGTTTTATTTTTTAATTTTTGGTTTGTCTTTGATTAGCTGGGGAATTAAAATCAAATGATGAATCTTTAGTTTACTTGGGTAAGAATTTTTTCACATATAATTTGGCTGACCATTTTAACTATCAAACCATGTTGTTTTAGTTCATGCTACTAATCATGCATTCAGTAGATTTATATATACAACAGCGTTTAAATGCTAATCGATTACTAACATAATGCAGTCTTTACAGGAAAAGCAATGGATTCTCAAGAAGGGCTTCAATGTACATAAGAATTACAAGGTCTTATTAGCTATTCATAATTTTATAAAATAATTTAGATAAAATATCGATGAGAAATAAGATATATACCAAATAAAAATCTCTAAAATCTCTTTGTTTTGTTTCTTCTCTGTGTAGCAGATGTCATCAACATGAAAGATGGCTAGCCAGGAGTGGAAATGTTGCCAGAAATAAGGATCTTTATCTTGGGACATTCAGTCGGTGATTTTTCAAACTTCATTTGTGTTTTTTAGTATCTAAAAAATTTCCAAATATTTTTAATATAATCAGTGAAACCACAATTTCATGTCCTAGTTAGCTACTAGGATGCTTGGTTTTTGTATGATTCCGATTATTTGAGGTATCTGGGTATAGTTTTGTTCAAAGTAGGAAAATCAATTTAAACTCAAGCTTCTTTACAAGCTTGAGGAGAGATTTTAGTCTTATAATGATTAATAATTAAGATACAATTAGGGTAATACATGTACTACACATATTGCTAACTATGCTAGACCAAAACTATCATCATTACTGCTTACACATACCAATCAGTCTACATTCTGTGAACGCATATGACGACTGAGGGGTTTAACCCTCAATTGCAATCTCATTTGTAAAGCTTTTGCTATCCCAACTGATACACACGTGTAATTTTGTGTTTACACCAAGATTCTAAAAGAAGCTAGGTGCTAGTCAGGTGGCGAGTTGGGGCCTAGCACCTAGGCGGTTAGGCGAGGTCTAGGCGGTCGCCTAGGTGGATTTAACTAAATTCATTATATTTCATGTAAATAAGTGTTTGTTTATACTTAAAATATATATAATTTCATCATAAACTATAAAATAGAATGATAAATATATTATGAAGTATTGAAACATAATGAAAACATAGGGAACAAGCATATAATGTGTGCTCATTTAAGCATTCAACAAGTCTTACAATTTATTGAAAAAAAATAAAATGCAAAATGAAAGTTATCTATTTTCTGCCTAAGTGAGTTGCAACTTATGCAGGTGCTTAGGCGGGCACCTCAGCAGGTCTAGGTGTCATTTCTTAATTTTCAAATGCCTAGACATTAATCGAGGCCTAGACAGGGATTTTTAGAACAGTGGTTTACATCATACTAAACAATATATATATTTTTCATATGTTTAATCAAACTCTTTTCTAATGTACATTTCGCTGAGAGAAACGCGCAAAAATTTGATGACATCCTATAAAATTGCCAGAAGAAGATCCTTTCCAACTTATGCAAAACTTGACTTCTTTCCCCGCAAAAAAACACTAGGTAAACACAATCTATCCTTATTTTGTTCATAATATAATTCTATTGTGATACAATTTTGTTTCATGTATTTCAATCCTTTTCTTTTCCCTTGCCCAGGATACCTTCCTTAAACACTTTTCCCATTCTTCTATAACATAGTGTTTACATCTTCCAAACATAGTCTTTCTAGCAATTTTAAACCCGCAGCATCGCGCGGGCTTTCCTTTCTAGTAAACTAATATTGATCATTCTCAATTTCTAACGTGTCACAATTTCTGATTGTCTGTGAAATACTAAAGCTGAACTAAAAGAAGCAATCGATACGTCATTGGCTGTTCCGAAAAGCGCACGTAGAAGAGATAAGGAAGACAAAGTTCTACATTGGAAGGAAAGAGGCCAAAAAGAGGCCAAACCTTCGACTGAGGATCTTCACCAGGCAGAATCTCTCTGCTAAACTCTACGCTAAGGATGTTCACTTCCTCATGGAACTCATCAAGGTTTCAATTCCTTTTTTTTAATATATGTGTGTGTGTGCGCGCGCTTGTGCGTTTTAGTGTGTTTATGTATTACCTTAGTCTAGCTATTTGAATATATGAATCAATGGTTGATAGTATACTGGTTATGTTGCAGAATGCAGAAGATAATGAGTACCCAGAAGAGGTTGATCCATCACTTGAGTTTGTCGTCCCGGGATATTATAGCCGGGGGGGCTCCTGCTAACTTAATTTGTTTTCAACAATGAGAAAGGGTTTTCACCAAACAACATCGAGTCCATTTGCAGTGTTGGATGTTCCACCAAGAAAGGCAACAGGAAGCGCGGCTACATTGGGGAGAAATGTACTAAAAATTGGTACCAGGCGGAATAATCTGTAATTAAAAATCTAAATATACTTGATTGAATAGTCAGCAACATGAGTCAACTAAGATCAAATTTGTTAGTTTGCCAACAGCAAAATTAATCAATTAAAACTTGTTTATTGAAGTGTTCCTAGTTAACTAATCTCCAATTCAGTATACATTCTAACTCTTATAAACTTAGTTGCATAGACATATCTATTTGCAAATCACAGAGGTCATATATCACATGCAAAGAATAAAATATGTGAACAAGAAAAATAATAAATAACACATGGAGTTTTTGGCCGGAAAAAACCACATCTGTGTTAAAAAACCAAGGACTCTCCACTGAGTCCAATTCACTAGTGCAGATAAGCTTCTTACAAAGTACCACCACAAGCTTAATTCCTAGATCTAATCTACAAAGCAACTTTACCTTTATGCAAATTTACTTCGCACAATATGGAGACGTCTTCAGTCTTCCCAAAGATGGCAGCTCCTTTCCCTGGGCTATTCACCTTGTGACACCGAGACCAACACAACCAATGCAAATGATGTTATGATGAAGTTAACATGAAATATGGATTCAATTGACTAGTCAGTTTCTCCAATCAAATAGTTCAGGGAAGAAACTAACGTGAATCCGAAAAATGGGTGACTAAATAGATTTGAAACTTGAAGAACTTGACCAAAAAAACCATAAAGACAATGCAACCCTATTATGAAATGATTGGGTGTTTAATGCATTAATGTGGTTTTGTGGCTAGGATTTTTAATGAAGAACACAAGAGGCAGCTCAAAACTATAAACGCACTCTTCAGAAAAATATGAACTTCTTAAACAAAAACCAAAAGGATCCTAGAGCCCCTTTTTATGGAATGCTTGAATGTTTCAGACAAAATGGACCAAATGACACGTGTTAAGTGCAAAAACAATCTAGAAAGATCTAGGGTGAAAAATCGACTCTCAAAAAAATGTCAGTTGGCCCATGTGGGATGTCTTAAAGCGAGTGCCCAGCTTGTTGGAAAGCAGTGGGAAATTTCGACAGGATAGAACTACTAGACAGAATGAATTGGAATTATAAGCATGAAATGCATATGCATGAACAAACTTTTAAGATGTGAAATCAAACCCTTGAGTGATTATTTCTAGCAGCATTGATGCCATAATGACATTGTACCTTAAATCTAACTAGATCATGTGTAGTACCATTTACAATTTTTGACAAAGAATGCCCTACACAAAATCTAGACGTCACATGTACGTTTGCAGTATATATATGAAATGCTTCTATATATTCTGCATGCAAGTCCTTTTTATTATGAGTTTATGCCAATTTTTTTCCCTCGGCAAAAGCTTTGCCAGACGAAGGTTACTTTTGCCGTCAAAATATTTCATTGCCTATGATTATCACCAACCTTTGGGTTAAAACTTGAAATTTAGATTTTTAAACTGACTCAATCATTCTCTAATAGTTGGTCTAAAATAAGTTTTGGGTTAAAACCTAAAATTTGAGCAAATTTAACCTAGAATTTAGGCTAGGGTTGAAAGGCTGCCCCACCCAAATTAAGGTTTTTTTTATTTTTTTACTTTTTTATCAAACGATATTATCTACACCTTGGGGTGAGGGCGGACTAAGTCTCACAATGCTTTTGACGAGAATAAAACCTATGACTTCTGCCTCACCAAAAAAACTCTATAAATTGTTTCATGGGGTTGATTTAGTGAATGTCATAAAAATAAAGGGAATTGATATTAGAACTTCAAAAATCTCATTTGGTACTCCAAACTTTCTATAATTAGAAAGAAAAATACACTTGTGAGGAGTGTAGAATGAGATTTTTGGAGTGCTAATAATAATTCCCAAAAATAAATTATGATAATTTAAATAATTTTTATTTTGAAAAAAGTTATTGGAAAAAAAAATTGAGCCTAAAATCATTCTTTAATAATCTCGGACTAAAATTTTAACCCAGAACCATTGGAGCAAAAAAAATATTTTCTGAATTAATACCTAAATTTTCTGAGTTTAAAAATTTAGGTTGTAGTCCAAGGGTTAGAAATGGCCTAAAGTATCTAAAAGAACCAAAATGTTGACCATGTTTGCTTGACTAAATTTTGTTTTTTGGTCGGATAAAGCTACTTTGCCCGCCCAAATTTTGTTTGTTGGGCAAACTTTCGTCGAGCAAATAGTAATTTATGGTAGTATTTGGAGAGAATTGTGGAAATGCATGTAAATTAGGTTTTGGTGGTTATTGTTGGTTTTTTTTTTGGGTGTGGTCGTTAAAGGAGAGAGATTGGAAGAAATACATGTACATTGGGTTTTGGTGGTTGTTAAAGTGTTTCCATATGTGTCGATTTCTGTATGTAAAATTGAGATCGATCTCCCTTCCCCTCTTTCAAGATCAGATTGAGAGTTCCAGTAGAACGAGCATTCGGTCTGGGCACTGATTTCAAATTCCTCAATGAATAATGAGCTAACAGCTAAGTTATTCATTATTAATATCATAGCAAAAGCGACAACGTGATAGTATGTGTAAAAACTGTCTATTTGAGTCTTTTCATGTATTGGTGGGTTCAACTCTTTTTTCTTTATTTGAGTCTTTTCGTGTATTGCTTAGTTTACTATCTATTTGGTGGTATGTGTAAAAACTGACACTAAGTTGTAGTAGAGAAATTAGTGTGGGGTTTTATTGATGAGGTAGATAACAACTGATTGACATGGGATTTTATTGACTTGCAGCTGATCTAAATGAGTTCACACTTAAAATCCACCATGGTGTTACTTTGTGGATGAATTTTACATGGGCGGAACTGTGCTATGGGAATACAAGTGTGATAGAGACTTTATCTCCATGTTTGACTTAAACGACTTGACAGAGCATCTTGGCTACAAAAAGTCACAACCGAGTTTTGGTACAAAAAGAAACGAAAGGGATGGGTTCCTATTACCAAAAGATGCTCACTAGTGTGATTGTGCTGGGAGATAATATCTTCAAGAAAAATAGTTGTGGTTTACCTTACTGAAAAATGTTTTCTTATTTTGTTATATAAGGGAGTGAAAGGAAACATGTACTGGTGGGATTTGTATGAAAAAGCAAGACTGATTGTATCAGCTTGGACGCTGATTCAATAACTTAGGCTATCTTCAATGAAAAGAGTTAAAGGTTCAAAATTTTAAAAATGACTTGATTTGTTCAAAAATTCTTCCAATCAAAGGTTATGCTATAATTCTACGAAGTCTACCAAATCAAAATTTGGCCAATGGGTATTAGGTTGGCCGAGTGTGACGTCTCTCTTAGCCTATTTTTGGGCCCTGCTCTCATTTATAATAATTGATTCAAATTTAACGAGTAGATTTGAAAACATCTAATGGTAGTTTAATTAAACTAACCAATCAATTTAAAATATACACTGAAAACTAATAAATTACTAAAAGAGTTATATTTAGCCCCTTCAGTTGGAGACGATATATGAATATGGTCTAACATTATTTATTTAAAAATAATTTCTCGCAAGACTATAATTCTGAACGAAATTATGTTTAGACTTCAGTTGGAGATGATTTTAGCCTCTAGAGTCTTAGTCTTTGAGGAATCTATACACCTTTCCACAACTTTTCTTTTTCCAAAGGACAATAATGGAAGAGACTCACTTTACCTTATGATCCAGGCCTCTAGATGCAGACTTGTAGTTTTCTTCATTTATTGCAAAAGATTTCAAGTTCGACAAAATTATTTATATACTTAAACTCGGTTCCTCTGTCTCTGTTTTTCACTATTCTTGAATAGTGAAAGGGCGGAAATGCCCTTGATTTCTTCTTTGTTTGCCTTGTTTCCTCTTTTCTACGATGAAAAGCTTGTTTTGCCCATTTCATCCACGCTTCGATCATCGCTGTGCATCGATCACTTCTCAACTTTTTCCTTCCGTTTCCACTTTTCTTTTTCACAATTCTCTGCTTCTCTCACTCTTGACCCTTGCTTTTTTTTTTTTTCACTCTCAAACGCCGCTTTCTCAAACGCCGCTTTCTCTGGCTCTTCAATTGGATCCGGAAAAAAAAAAATTTACCTAGAAAAGCTAGCATTTCCTGGTAAGTTTTACGGCTTTCTCAATATAGGTGTTTCAATTTCTTTTCTGTGATTTTGGATTTGCAGATGGGTTTCTGTTCAAATTTGTGTTTTCTGATTTTGGGGGTTTTGTTTGTGCCCTCGGATCGTGCATGTGGGTGTTCCATTCGGCTGCATATGGGTGTTTAATTTGGTTTTGTTTTCAATTTCAGAGGACCTGATTTTTCCTTTTTTGGCTTTTGTATGCAGCCTCCATTTTGGGACTTTTGTAGAACCAAATTTTTTATTTTTATATATTGTGAAAGTTGAATGCGACACTCTGTTTCGTTGCCATTTAATATATTAATGCTGGATTTTTTAAAGCTGATACAGTGTTTACGAATATCAGGTCTTTGAGATACGATATTGTTCCAGGCTGTCATCCAAATTCCCTACCACATTGTGCCACGGCGATTTCAAAGAGGTCCTTGATGAGATGCTATACTAAGCGAATCCGGATCCTTGTCGGATCCTTTTTGTGTTGATTTTGTGAATCATGAATCGTGGTTGTTCATCAGTACATCGTGCTATTAGAAATTATTTTAAATATTTTTATTTTAAATTAAACACAAATAGTACCTAACAAAAACTGACTATATGATGTACAAGAAACGAATACGATTTACAAATTCTCAAAATTCTTACCAAAAGGATCCGGAGAAGATCATGTTGGATACTGAGCAGCTACCATCGTAATGAGCTTAGGTATTGAGATTTTTCCTGAACTTCTTTTTTTCTTGGAACATGAAACCATATGTATTTGCTGAACGTTGGTGCATGTAAATAGTACAATGTTTAATAATCTTTTATTTAGAGTCTAATGAATGATAATAGTGGATCATAATGTTGACAATAACCTAACATGGCTATTTATTTTTTTAATGTAAGAGTGGGTGTCGTTCTGTTGGTCATTAGATGACTTGATAATTTATAATCACTTACCTAACTTTGGATTTGAATAATCATGAGTAACTTGATTTCATGTTACTATTGTTTCAGATGATTCTTATCATATGTTTTCTTTGTAAGTGGGATTGATTTTTTATTCCTCTATTACTTGCTATGTTTTTCCATCAATGAGCCTTCATGTCCCCCTTATTTGTATTTAGAAATAAGATTATGGGGATGATCAGTGAACACTATCACCCATTAAAAAAAAAAAAATCCTTACATTAATTGGACCCAGTCAGTATCAACAAACTACTACTGTCTCAATCTCAAAATATAAATCAACTCTTACTCTTCCTCTTTTCTTGATGATTTAAAGAAATAATTCAACTATTAACCACCACAACATGTGGTCTATAAAATATGGTTTTAAAACATTGTCTACTTAGCATTTTCAATTATGAGAATTTATGACTATTTCGAACCATGTTGGTCGTGAACTGTTAGGTAACTGAGAGCCAATAAATGTTAGGTGGCATAGGGCCGAACAATCTAATTTTTTTTCAATTTTATTCCTTCTTGTTGGGTTATCTGTTGCCGAATTTTTTTTTTTTTTTTTGAAAACCTCGACAGGACGAGGTAAATTTATTGATAGGAAAAAATAAGTTACACCTAGTTAGGGGGAACATAAACCTTACCCCTCATAAAACAAGAAAAACGAGATACAAAGAGGGGGGACATACGCCTTATCCCTTTTGAAAATTGGGTGGACATATACCCAAACCCCTCTATAAACCTTAAAAGGTAAGAACCTACAAGACAAGTTGCAAAACGAAAAAAGAAAATCCAAAAAGATTAGGTAAAAAAGGGAAATCACACATCAAGAATGAGAGACAAATCTATAGGCTGGCATACTCAAGAAATCTGAGTTCAGAAGATGAAGAATCTCTATAGGAGGAGCAAAATGCCAAACAATTAAAGATGAAAGAAGCCCTAAATTGGCTAATTTGTCAGCAACAACATTCCCTTCTCAAAATGTATGAGAGCAACGGAAAACCATGTTTTGCAATCGGAGAATACAATTGTTCCAGCATGTCTGGAGTGACCAATGAGGAAAGAAGGATCTAGAAGTGAAATAGGATATCACGCTAGAAGAGTTACTTTCAAGCCATAGATTTTGCCAACCCTGCGCGTGAGCCAATTCCACAGCAAGGATGACAACATGGAGCTCCACATAGAAAGAAGTACGATGCCCCAAGCTTAGGGAGAAACCACCAAGAAAATAGCCCGCAGAATCTCAAAAAACCCCGCCACAAGCTGCAGAACCTGGGTTACCTTTAGCAAGGCCATCAATATGCACTTTGATCCAAGAAAAATGAGAGGGCATGCCAAAGAATTGGGACTATAAAATGAGCTTTACAATATTTAGCCAAGATTCCAAGAGAGACTAAAAGTTGCCTATCCAAAATGCCTCGTACATGACTAGGGGTGAGAACTCCAACCTGCCTAATCCAGGTTGAGGTGGAACGGCAAAGGCGTGAGAAGGAAGGGGGTTTACTTTTAAACTTCACTTTGTTACGCATCTTCCAAATAGCCATTAGCAAGAAAAACCCTGAAGCTAGCCAAACATTGCAAAATTATGGAGAGAACCGCTTTGACACAAAAGCAAGCCAAAAGTCAGAGACGGAGCCCGTAGGTGGAAAAGTAGTGCCAAATTGGGTAGCTAGCCAACACCAATCACGTTGTGCAAATTCACAACTAAAAAATAAGTCGTCAATAGATTCAGAATTCTTATAACATAGTTGGCACATTTGAACCAGTGGAATGCCCCGTTGTTGAAGTTGATCCTTCGTTGGGAGCTTTTTGAAAAGAATCTTCCAAACCAAGGAGTTTTTGGTTATCTGCTGCCGAATATCTTTGTGGTTGGTTTGGTTGAGAAGAACTCGTATTAGAACTTGAATATGTATGGCTTATGCCCCGTTTGATATTACTTTTTTTCATCAAAAACTGCTTCACTTGAAAGTTAAGTAATAAAAAAGTGTTTGGTAAAAGTAAAATATATTGCTTATTTTAAAAGCAATGGCTTCCAGATAACAGTTTTTAAAAGCAACATGTAAGTTGCTTTTAAAAGTTGCTTTAATAAAAAAAAGTAGAGTTGAGCCTTTAATACATATTTCAATTGTTGTAATACCTTCATTAATATTTAAAAAATGACATTATTTGCTTCCACACACATTTTATTGTAATACCTACCACTACAAACACTAACCTTACACTATCAACATCGTTTGCCACCACCACAACCATAATCACAACCGCACCATTGCTTTTCTTACTTACAACACTTTTAAAATACAATTAACCAAACGCTCATCTTACTTTATTTTACAACTAATTATTCTTGAAGTATAGCATAAGCAGTATTTAAAAAAAAAGCACAACAATTTGGTAATTACAGAGATTCTTAAGTAGACCCATTCATTGTTTTAGTGCACAGCAATGTGGGGTTGAAGAAAATAAAAGTGGGTTCAATTTGTATGTGATCTATGTTCTTTTAGTGCACAAATGGTAATTGCAGGGATTCTCAAGTAGAACCATTCATTTTTTAACTAGTAATTTATTTGGCGTTTCTATAACATTAAGTTCATAATAAATAGGGTAGGGTAGCATATACCATAGCGGTTTGAGAATAAGACCGCATTCTATCTCAAGGGTATTGTAACTCAGTTGATTATGAATATTCACCTGTGTTCGACTCCGCCTCAGTTCCACGAGGAAGTGAACATTCTTATAGCAAAGAGTTCAGCAGACAGATTCTTAAACAACTTGGTGAAGTAACTCAAGCAAAGGGCTGGCTGGCTACATGAGTTGATTATATTTGATTAATTTCAATTTATGCATGGATTAACTTAATTCATTTAGTCTTTCTTCTTCCTTGAGAATCTGTGTAACTTATTTTCCTCCCTTCTCATCAGTTTCCAAGGACTAAGTGGAAAACCAGCTGCTAATAATTAGTTAGCAACTTCTGAACAATACAAAGAGAAACGATCATACAACTGACCATTCAGTTAACCGTCGAAGGTTATTTAAAAAAATAAAATAAATAAAAAAAAATAAAATAAACAGATGAGAAAACATGGTTCAGAAATTCATATGATAAAAGAAGCAAATCCAGTTGTTCAGAATAACATGAGAATCCAACGATAAAAAACCACACAACCAAAACAGCATAACGTAGAGTTCAATTCATCCGCTTAGAGAGATTATTATTGTTGAAAAAGAAACTAGTTAGATGGGCAGGCAGAATTCAGAAACTCGACATCCTCAACGAAGATCTGCAAATTCTTCGACTTCATCAAGAAATCAACATCTTCCTCATTGAATTCTAGCACGAATGCCAACCTGATCAGCTCCGAAAGTGCAGGTATAAGTTCAATGAACTCCCACAGAACACACTCAGAGATTGCTTCGGCAAAATATGTAGCAAACTCAACGGTCTTCTTCTGCCGGCCAGATTTGTCCATCTGGATGAAGCATTTGGAATTCTTCCTGTCCCACCGTATCTTTCGTGTGCCTCTCACATTCAAAACTTCCCCAGAAGATAGTGGCAGATCATAGCGTACAGTGATTGGTTCTGGTGTCTCCAATACAGCAACGTCTACAAGAGCTTGGACAGCTTTCCGCCTCTTCTCCACCTCCATTTCAATGGGAGGACCAGCAAGAAATCCAAGAATCAGCCTCAGCAGTGCTTTTCCGAACAATCTTTCCCTTGGGATTATTTGTAGCTCAGCATCATTTGCAAGAGAAACTTCTTCCTTCTGCACAGATTCTGAAATAGTGCGAACACCAATTTTCTTGTACATTTCAAGCAGCTTAGTTCGAGGCAAGGAGGCCAAGCTTGGCTGAGGGTACCAAACAAATATTGACTGTGAAGACTGTTCAAAAAGACACTGCAGCTGAAGGTCATCAGCAATGAAAACGTACTCCTTGTTGCACAACAAGATTTTGCCTGAGCCAGAATAAACCGGTACTTTCACCACGGCATCAGCGAGACTTTTCTCCGTTTTTAAATTCCAGTGCTTCGAAACATAAAGCCAGAACATGCAGCATTGATCAAGCAACAATTCGCTTTCAGAACTTTCCCAAACTTTCCAGAGATTCAAGTAATCATCAACAGAAGGACGGCATCTTATTCCAAAAGCAGAAGAGAAGAAACCAAACAACTTTTGATCATAGTGTTTCTCCAAAACAGTTAACTGCGAACCAAACAGACCATCCTTGTCATGCATAACACATTCATCTGCACTAACCCACTCACCATTTTTATTTTCTTTCGGAACCCATATCCTTCGGGGAGCCTCTCCATCTGTCAGTGGAACCCACTCAGACTCACTCAAGTAATTATATACTCGAACAAATGTCGAAAACTCATCCTGTAGATCAAGGTGCCTAGCAATTAAGGCACATCCCTTTTTCACATCGACAATCACTCCAATTGCAGCGAGCTCCTTTCTGTAGGTTGTAATTTTAGAACCATAAAATTCTTCATCGATGAAAGGCCCATCAGTCTGCTTTAAATGCGTTTCCGAATCAAACAACAAGCACTGGTTAGGAGACCGGTAACCAGCATGAGTCTTCAACCATGCTTGAGAAAGTTTTCCCCTGAAAACCTCCGGAAGGGAGTAGGCTTTCTCCTGCAATAAGATCTGTATACATTCAAGCAATGCTAATGCATTTTCCCGAGAAATGCAGGTCGGATCCTGAGGAAGATACAGACAAGATTCCACAAACTTGACTCCGTCCTTGAATTCCACAACCACCCCCAAGCTCTTCAGTTCGTTCTTAAATTCATGAATGTTTTTTCCATAATGATTTTCAGAATCATCAATGAATGGAAGAAGACATATGGAAGAGATGGAATCCCACTCGGGACCAGAGAGAATGCACTGTTTGGGAGATCTATGATCACCAAGGCGAGTACGCAGCCACTTCATCTCGCAAATGCAGCTCGTAAGATCGGCAGGAAATTTAAATGGAGTTACATTCAGTGTTCTGTAACACAACAGAATTGATGCAACATTTTCTTTTGAAATGGAAGTCGAAGATGCATGCTGCTTGAAATAACGGGCAAATACTTTTGCGGCATCCTCAAAATCAACCACCACCCCAGTTTTCTTCAACTCATTTCTGAAGGAAAATATTCTGTCTCCATAGAAATCGTGATCAATCAATGGGAAACCACTGAAGACCTGAAGAATGCAGCCCCAATCCTTGTCGAACAGGAGACATTCCTCTGGATGCTTGTAACCAGTTTTTGTCTTTAGGCAATTCGATCCTTTCAAAGCACTGATAAGTTTCTCAGATGAGCTCGAAAGACACATGCATTTAAGCATCAATAGAAGAACCTCAGGTGTCCAAGAAGTCAAGCAAGAATGTGACTTCAGGTTGTCAATTATCAGTTGGTAGCATTTGCTGAATGAGACCGCCACGCCAAGCAACTCAAGTTCTGTTTTGAACTGACAGATTTCTTCTTTACCATAGAATGCTTCATCTATGAAGGGAATGTCGCTAATTTGCGAAGCAACTTTCCACTCATCATCCGACAAGACAGATCCAACCGGAGACCTGAAGCCAAGGGAAGTTTTAAGCCACTGACCATCTTTAATACTGCTGATAAAATCGGCTGGTGGAAGAAGTTTCTCTCTCAAAAATCTGATGAAACGTAGTATAGAAAATACATTGCCACAGGTTAAAGAGGAAGCAGCAGCAAGAGACATGAGATGCTTCCCCATATATTCACACGCTTCTCCAAACTCAAACCTGACTCCAATTTTTTTCAACTCCTCCTTGTATTCGTTAATCTTTCCATCATAATGACTTTGATCGATCAACGGTATATCAACAAAAACAGAGCTATTCTGCAAAAGGTTTCCCGATGATGACTTGAGAAGAAATGACTGCGATGGTGGCCTGAAACCAGGAGAACCATTCAAAGTAACTTTGAGCCAGCTACCTTCTTTTACACACATCAAGAACTTCTGAGGGATGCTAGCTTTATGCATGAGCTGGCGAATCCAGTCCAAAAGCAAGAATACCTTTTGCTTATTGAGTGGTGCAGATAAAGATGATATACCATCTCTGGGAGCACAAACATTTGGGATATCCGAGGCTTTAGCATGATCTTTTAGAAACCCAAGGAGCTCCTTCTGTTGTGTAAAGCTACCAGCAAAATGACCGGAATCCAAATAGTCTTCGTTCAACTCAACATAACCTTCTCTTCTCCACAGATTAGAGTCGGTCAATCCTGCCCATTTGCTTCCATTAGCTGGAACAAGAACTCCCTTCCTAGTGCTGGTGATGTTGCCATACTTATCCACCAACGGCATCAGTGCACACAAATTAACAGCTTCCCAAGATAAGATATATCCCTTGCTCAAAGACTGGTGTAAAAAGTGGGCGAATGCAATAGCAACCTTGCGCTCACAAAGTGACTGATCAAAGAGATTGACTGCATAGTCACGTATACTTACAGAACCAACCTTGACTTGGTCCAAAAGCCACTTCTTCAACGTCTCCTTCCTAGAACACAATCCGAGAGCTTTTTGTGTGATCTCTGGCATAAAGAGAACATTGGAAACAGATGCAAACTCCATGTTCCAGTCAATCAGCCATGAAACATGACAAGAATCACTTGATAAGCAAACTTTGCTTTCGCCTTTCTGGATTGCGCTTATGCTGCACAGAGATTTGTTTCGATAACCCACATATTTTATGAGCGGTATATTCTTGATGCTGGTGCTTGAAAATTTAGACCCCCAAAATTCAGAAATGAAAAGTAGAAGCTCCAAATAGACATCTTCCAGCACCCCAGTTATAAGATTAGATGTACCGCAGATGCATGTTGCATACCATTCATTGTTCACGGCTTCAACTCCCAGGAAATTCAGTATCTCGTTATACTCGACATCATCAAGGGCATATGCCAGAACTGGTTTTCCATGAGACGAGAGATTAACCAAGCTTACCCCTAGCTTCTTCGCTTTATGCAAAATATTCCAAAAGGCAGGCATTAACCTACCGACTTCACGGGGTTTATAAAATACCTTCCGCTCCTCGTGAGGCTCACTAGGGACAATGCTTTCTTCAACAATCTTTGCCTTTATAGACTCCCTGACAACATTCAATCCTTCATAAGAAGAGCTCTGAACAGGCAGAAATTTGAACATACGAGTCAAGCTAGAAACTGGAGCATCTACTTCAGATGTGACAAGTGAGATAAATGCATTCACAAATGCAGTTGGAACGTAATCGAGAATCCCCTTATTCCATTTGCTGTCCAGAAGAATTGTTTCCCTCGATGAGGCAAGAAGAAAATCGGCTTGAATTATAAAGGGAAAGTTTGTCACCATCTCGGTGGGAAGGAATGCATAGACTCCAGGAGATGTGTTTGTTCCTCTACGAAGGCGCTCTCCAATTGGAAATGCAAGCGTGATCACCCATTCATCTACATCATTTCTCCCATCCTACTCTGCACTCCGGCTTGACAGGAAACTTCTGCTTCCACATATAATAGCCGCATTCTTTATCAAACTTGAAGCCATTTTCTTTCGCAGAAAGGTGGAGTGTGTAGGATTCAGCATCCATGTCCTTCCTGGTGTCAGAATTAGTATCACTTGATATTGCAATCGCGCTTACAGTGTTGTGCCTTGGATCCTCATTGTCTTCCCTAACCGAGAGCCGCTCAATCTTTGATAAGAACAAGAGAATTTCCGGTTGCATGCTAGATAGCTGTTGCTTCACAGCTTCAACCTTGTCCGCCTTCAGAGGTAAGATCAGGGTTGTGTTTGGAAGGGCAGAACCAGAACCATACATCTGTTTTATGTCTGAAAGAGTAGGGTTTGCATCAACCCATTCCGGAACTATATAGCCAACATTGCAGTGCACACAGGGCTCTTCACTGAACCTTATTTGATATCCGTTACTGAAAATGTAAGGTTGCGCAGTAATGAGAAACACGCTTTTGAACCCAATACCTGCAGATTAAACAGAAATGTAATTGAATTCGCAAAACGAAAAACTATGAAGACATTCATACAGCCAACAAAAGCTTAATTCAAAACACATAATAAACATGTCAAGATTGAGTAAATAATTCTTTGATATAAATAACACTGTCAAGATTGAGTAATGGCTTGTTTGGTAGTGTTTCTTTAATGGCTGAAATCGCTTTTGGTGAAGAGATTTTGGTACCAATCTTTAGCAAAAATACAAGCAAATTTTAGGAAAGCACTTGAAGTGCTTTTCTACAAGAAGCGTACGTAATTGGTGTAGCTTGCTTGAAGCATGTCAAGTGCTCTTGGAACCTGAAAACATTTTTTTTCAAAAGCATTTTCAGTCATTTTAAAAGCACTAAAAATGAACGCTTAGTCTTATTTTCTTTAATTTTTTCTTGTTTTTAAACAGCAATGTCAATATATATATATATATATATATATATATAACAGTCAAGATTGTACTATTCTGAAGGGCTAACGTCACCCAATCCTATGTTTATTTATATAAAAAAATATTGATACTTGGTGTTATAAACTCATAATAAAAAGGGCTGGCATGCAGAATACATAGCAGCATCTCGTGTATATTGTTGCGAGTTATGTGTAAATATTAGTTTTTTTTTTTTTCTTTGGAACAATCAATATTATCTACATTAAAGAAAGAGGGTGGGCCTAGCCTCACAATAAGGTTAGCAATAATGTGGTTCAAATTTGTTTTTGACGAAAATCGAACCTAAAATCTTTCACTTAGTGTAAATAGTAGTCTTTTGTCACACATTGATAGAGTGCATCTGTAATCCATATTGTAACTCATATATATACTCTATTTAGAGATGAATGAATATGTAAGAAATTCCTCAAATGCAATTTTAAATATTTTGATATTTACCATGTTCAATTCAACTGGTAACAAGCAGTTCGCTTTGGTGGGCTATGTGCCCATTTTTTCTTAGTACCATGCCCTAATTGTTCAACTAGGGTTTGTGTTATTGTTATTTCCCTTGTTTTCAAATAATTAAAAAAAAAAAAAATTCGTGTACGGTGTGTGCCAGTGAATAGTTCTATAGTGTTGTGAATAGTGCCCATAAACAATGATATGTTACAGTGTGTGCCATTGAACAATGATTTTGCTACAGAGTCATGAATAGTGTTTCTGATATAATGTCTCAATTCCGACGGCGTATATTTTTTGTGCCTTTATTATTGTTTTTGGCTAAATAGATCAATATAACCATAGTATTGTTTTGCTTCTTGCTAGAACAATGAAGTGGATAATTGATATTGGGGCCACTAATTATGTGGCTGGTGACCCTAGAATGTTTGATGAGTTGCATGATTATGTTCGTGATCCGTATATTACTAGTGCAAATGGAAGTACCTTCACTTGTGAAGGTTGAAGACACTATCTCTCTTACTCTGACCTTATCACAGGTTCATACTCTACTTGTTCTTAATGTTAAGTGCAATCTTTTGTCGGTAGAAAACCTACTTGATACCTTATATTGTTCTACTCACTTCTACCCCATGTATTGTAATTTTCAAGACCTTAAAATTCATAAGATAATTGGTTATAGTAAAAGAATTGGGGGTTTGTACATCTTAACTATGGAGAATACAGTTGTTTTAGGTTCAAGTAATCATCAAGTTCTAAGTGCCAAAGTGGACGATAAACATCAAATTTGATTGTGGCATCAACGTTTGGGACATCCATCATTTAGTTATCTAAATTATCTATTCCCTTCTGTGTTTCACACTTGTAGTCATTCAAAGTTCAAGTGTGAAACATGTGTCATGGCTAAGAGTCATCGTAGTTTCTTCCCAATAAATGAATGTAAAGCTATTTTGCCATTTGATTTGGTACATTTTGATGTGTGGGGTCCGATGAAGTTACTTCTAATGGATTTTGTCGATTTATTACTTTTATTGATGACTGTATTCAACTAACTTGGGTGTTCTTCATGAAGAATAAGAGTGATATCGTTTCTCTTAATTGATAATTTTGTACAATAATGTCTACTTAGTTTTAGACTAAAGTTAACGTCTTCAGGTCAGGTAACGGATAAGAGGAAGTAAATAACATTTTGGCGTGCTTCTTTCTTAATTAGGGTATTATTCATCAGATGACTACTCCATTTACACCCTAACAAATTGGTGTGTCCAAACGGAATAATCATCAAACAATGGAGGTTGCTCGCTCAATGATGTTGGATAAGTGTGTACCTAATCATTACTGGGGTTCTACTATTTTGGTGGTTGTGTATTTGATCAATTGTGTTCTAAGCCAGGTTCTGGATTTTCATATGTCACTTGATGTGCAACAAAAACATGTCTCTCATGTCTCTGTATCCAAATGTCATCCTAAGGTGCAAGCGTGTGTGGCGTATGTGCATATCTACTATCATCAATGGAGTAAACTTGATGTTTGTGCTTTCTGATATGTGTGTTATTGGGTATGCTAATAATCAAAAAGGCTATAAATGTTATCATCATCCAACTCACAAAACTTATAGTACCATGGATGGTACTTCCATGAAAAGGTTCTTATTTTGAGAAGCCATCTTTCGACTCCCCACTTAAGGAGGAAATGGAGCGTGAAGTGCAGAGTTGAAGAGATGGTGTGGATGACGTGTTACAAGCCGAATTAGGTACAGAACCTGTCCTGCTACATGTTATCAAGCAGTAGGCCATACATAGTGATTGGTCGACTGTCATTCTCGGGGCTATGTCTGCTTACAACCAGTCGGATACACCTAACGAACGGTCGCCCATGTGTGATACCACTGGTCTAGAGTCTTTGTTTGTTAATGAATGATCACCTACTGTTGGTTTATCTAATAATTTGCTTGTTGATCATTTGTCTAGGTTTAGTATAAAATAGTGACACACATGAGGTAAATTCTTATGGTTTGCCTTGACCTACTTATCAATTGCCTCCACAAGCTAATCGTGGAAAACCCAAAGTAGAATGTGAATCTGATATGCATGCCAAAACCAAGTATCATATCCAGATTTATGTGTCTACTCATCGTTTGTCCAAGCCATATGTATCTTACATATGTCAGCTATCTAATGTCTCTGTTCCAACAAAATTACAAGATGCTTTGTCTAACCCTAAATGAGTTAATGCCATGAATGTTGGGATAAAAGCTCTAGAAAAGAATCCCACGTAGGATTTGATTCATTTTCCAAAAGAGAATAAAGTTGTTGGATATAGATGTGTGTTCACTATCAAGCACAACTCAGATGATTCTATTGAATGGTATAAAGCCAAACTAGTTGTTAAGGTTTATACACAAACCTATGGTGTGAACTATCAGGAGACTTTTGCTCCTTTTGCCAAGATTAATATTGTACATGTCCTCTAATCTTTAGCAGCAAACCAGGATTGGCCCCTATTGCAGTTTGATGTCAAGAGTACTTTCCTCCATGGTGATCTCAATGAGGATGTTTGTATGGATCTCCCACTAGATACCGTAATATCTTCTGAAAAGGTGTGTTCATATTTTGAAAGGCTTTGTTTGGTTTGAAACAATCTCATAAAGCATGGTTTGGGAGCTTTACAAGTTCAATGAAAAAGTTTGGATATTTCATTCAAATCACACTTTGTTTCTGAATCAACAAAATGGTAAGCCAACTGTATTAATTATTTATGTTGATGACATCATCGTGACTGGTGATGATTGGAAGAAGCTACAATGTCTTCAAAAGTACCTAACTACTGAATTTGAGATGAAGAAATTGGGTAAACTGAAGTATTTTCTTGGATTGAGGTTGCACGATCCAAGCATGGCTTTTCTTTTCTTTTTTTTTTTTTTTGTCTTAATGGAAATATGTTCTTGATCTGTTAGCTGAAACATGTATGTTAGATTGCAAACCTGCTAATACTCTAATTGAGCAAAATCATCGTCTAGGCTTATTTCCAGATCAAGTTCCTACTCATAAGGAGGTATCAAAGGCTTGTGGGGAGATTAATTTACTTGTCTGATACTCACTCTGACATTGCTTATGCAGTTAGTGTTGTAAATCAGTTTAGACACTCGCATATTCAAGCTAATATGGATGGAGTATCCGTACTTTGAGGTACTTGAAGATGGCTTCTGATTGGTTTTCCCCAAGAATGATCATTTGAATGTAAAAGGGTATACATATTGTGATTGGGCTAGTTCTATAACTGACCGATGGTTTACATATGGATACTTTACTTTTGTGGGTGTTAATCTAGTTACTTGGAGAAGCAAGAAACAGAAAGGTGGTTGCTAGGTCAAGTGCAAAAGTTGAGTTTCGTGGTATGTCTCATGGTATATGTATGTGTGTTTTTGTGGTTAAAGAAATTGTCGAGGGATCTTGGGTTTAAACCAAAGGGTGCTATGAAACTCCATTGTCATGACAATGCTGCTATTGAAATTGCTCATAATCCAGTGCAACATGATGGTACAAAACATGTGGAGATTGATCGGTATTCATCATCGATTAAGATCAACTTGTTGACGTGCTTACTAAGGCTATGTCTAGTATTGTGTTTTCCAACTCGCTCGAGCTTCAACTTGAGGGGAATGTTGCGAGTTATATGTTTAAATATTAGTTAAGTGTAAATAGTAGTCTTTTGTCCCACAACATTGGAGTGCATATGTAATACTATTGTAACTCCTATATACACTCCACTTTAGAGATTAATGAATGGATAAATTAGGTTCTTATCCCTCATTTCTCCTTCTTATTAACTAAAACATTATTCCTTTTCCATTTTCCATGAAGGTCCCTTGACTTTTCTTCATCTCATTATTTGAATATTGAATTATTTACAAGTCATTATATGTCAATTTAAAAACAAACAACTACTAATCATTTTCAATTATAATCTTTTTAGTATTTTTTTTTCATACATTTCTATTCATAATTTTTATCCTTTTTCTAATTTATACCGATATTATTTTTAGTTTTAATTTGTACTCATAATTTTGAATTTTAATATGTACCCATATTTTCAGTTTAATTTGTACCTATGGTTTTGGATTTTAATTTGTACCCATATTTTAATTTAATTGTACCAATATTTTTTTATGAACGTACCCATGTTAATTTTATGTTTTAAAATATATCAATTGTTATTTCTTGCACTATATTAATAATTACGTGGGTACAATTCTTTTTTTTTTTTTTTTTTTTTTTTTGCTAGATGTGAAGAACAAATTTCTCTATTATTGATTTTTAAGTAATTGTTATATTTGTAAAAATATTATTTGGATTTGTTTAAATTTCATAATTTGTGGGATATTGAATGCATAAATGCATGAGTTAAATCCCTTAAATGATGCTAGGGACCTTGATCAAACTATTTAAACAAATATTCTAACAACTAAATTGATTAGGGACGGGAACTAAAATGACCCTTAATGAATATATAAGAAATTTTCCAATATTGCTTTATATATTTTTGTTATTTACTGTGCTCAATTCAACTCATATACATTTACCTTTCTCCCCAATGTAGCCGCGCTTCCTGTTGCCTTTCTTGGTGGAAAGTCCAACATTGCAAATGGCCTCGATGTTGTCTGGTGAAAACCCCTTCTCATTGTTGAAAACAATTAAAGTAGCAGGAGCCCCCGTGGCTGTTATATCCCGCGAAGTTATGACAAACTCAAGTGATGGATCAACCCCTTCTGGGTAATCATTATCTTCTGCATTCTGCAAAATAATTTGTATACTGTTAACCACTGATTCATATATTCAAATAGCTGTCTAAGTTAATACATAAACACACTAAAACACATACACATATATGTGTGTGTGTGTGTGTGTGTGTGTGTGTGTGTGTAATATTGCAAGATTCTAAGACCATGCCGTAGACTAAACCTTAAAATACACAAAAATCCAAAAAAAAAGATTTAAAACCTGGAGGAGCTCCATGAGGAAGTGAACATCCTTAGCGTAGAGTTCAGCAGAGAGATACTTTACGGCCTGGTGAAAACCCTTAGTCAAACGGTGTTTTTCTTCTCCTATGGAGAAGTCCTTGCGTATTTCTTCTATGTGCTCTCTCGGCGTCGCCATTTTCGGTACGGTCGACCGGCGATCACAAAGCCACTGCCGACTATTCAGTTACAGAGAGATTAACAGAATAAAGTCACAGAGAGAGAGAGAGAGAGAGAGAGAGAGAGAGAGAGAGAGAGAGAGCAAACTGAGAGAGCAAGTAAACAGAGAGCAAACTGAGAGAGCAAGTAAACAGAGAGTTAGGGTGAGGGTGGGCGGACACTAACTCTTTTTTCATGTTGCAAAGGAATAGGATGTTTATATAAAGGCCGCAACTATGTTTTGGGAAGGATTATTGAAACTCTAAACGTTTAATTTTTATATTTTTTAAATAATAAAAAAGCATTATTATAGAGAGTGCACAATTATTTTTAGTGTTTATATATATATATATATTATATTTATTTTGAAATATGGATGCAATTTTTTTTTTTTTTTGTGAGAGTTAGAATATATTTTTAATATCAATCCTTAGTAAAAATGCAAGTGAATCTTAAAAAAAAACTTAAAGTGCTTCGTGCAAGAAGCATACAACTCTTCAAGTGCTTTTGAAATCCAAAAATATTTTCTCTAAAAACTCTTTTAATCATTTTAAAAGTATTTTCAAATGATCCTATTGCATAAATGGACCTGCTTAAGAAAGATTGACGAATTAATGCAAAGTACAAACAGAGGAAAGGTAAAATCCCTCGATGAAGAAAGGAAAAGGTTAACATTAACAACAAAACAAAAGAGCAAAACAAAAATATATATATTGAAACTCTGAACGGATTGTGATTGCCCTGATGGACGCTTTCGAATCTGAGCCACGTGTCATTGTATGATGAAGGGAAGGAATGCAACTTATATGAAACGAGTTCATTGCCATGTGATGGTCCAATGCACCAGTGCACCACCACAAGTAAGGTTTTTGCTCCACGTAGCATTGCATTATTAAACTTAGACGTTATGTGGTAGTAAACTCATTTTATTTAAGTACTCTCGAACTAAAGATTTTGTTGTAAAAAAAAACTGACGTTCAACGAGCAAGAACTCCCTTGTATCTGAAAGTGTTCCTCTTCTTGCAAAAATATAGAGCTAGTCATTTTAAACTTGAAATCTGTATAAGGTTTAATGTCATTTCTAATGTATCAAAATTTTGGACTACTTAAATATAAATTTAAACTTATCTAATGCACCGGATACTTACTCTTATAAGTTTTCTGTTAAAGTGAGATCCAAATTTGGATTTTACTATGATATTTGAGTTTGAGATAAAGCTTATAGCAACAAGTAAAAATGTTATTTAACCAAAAAAATTAAGATTTGAGTTTTAACTCCAACCATTTTCAATACATACCTAAATTGTGAAAACTCAAATTTTGAGTCTTGACTCAATTTTTTCCTGCAATGCCAAAACTCAGACTTTAAACTTAAATATATAAAACTCTTTGCATTGAGATTTGAGAGAGAAAACCAAAAACCAAAAACCTCAAACTGGCAAAAGAAAATTATTTAAATATAAAAAATAGGTCTTAAATATATATCTAGCATTGAGAGTGCTTTAAATCACCAAAATTGGATGTTAGATCATCGTCGTTAATTCTACTATGTCATTGTCGCTGTAATTTTAATTAGAAGTAGGATCTTCTTCGCTCTAATTCATCTTTCCTTCTTTTTTCACTTCTCACACTTTCTACTTTGTCTTTCTTTTTCTATAAATTAAGAAGTTAATATAAAATGTTGTTATAACTTAATCATAACCGTTTAAATAAAAATGAAAAAAATAAAAAAAGAGGATGAGTATGCATGAGCTTTGTACGTAAAGCAAAGACTTTGCCTTACGTCAGTTAACTCATTATATTGTGTTTCTTTTTCTTTTCAAACTTTTGGAAAATAAGAAAGTGAAAGGAAACATGTACTGGTGGGATTTGTACGAAAGCAAGACTGATTGCATCAGCGTGGACGCTGATTCGAGCACTTAATCTACAGAGTCTTAAGTTATGAGGAATCTGAACACCTAACCACAACTTTCCTTTTCCAAAGGACAATAATAGAAGACTCGCTGTACCTTATGGTCTTTTACTTTTTGGTTATGTATCTTATGCTCTAGCTGAAGGCTCGTAGTTGTCTTTATTTATTGGGAAAGATTTCAATTTCGACGAAATTGTAAATTAAGTTGGGTGTGAATCGTATCAAATTAACTATACTTCGGAGTCCGGGCCTTTTGCTCTTCTAACGTAAGCTTCAAGGCTTCACCCCAAGTCTTCACTGACATCATATGCATGAGCTTTAATTCGAATAAAGTGTGCATTCGTATTAGCTTTTGCAAGTTTCGGGAATTAGGTAACGAGACGAAACTCAATATTTTCGTGGCGTTTAGTTAATGTGTGTGTCGGATCATTATCGAGTCAACACGTTAACTAATCAGGATCGTTATTTGGCATAAGATGTCAACACGTTAAAACTTTATGTTGAAATTTTTGCCCTTGGTGAAAACTGCTTTCGTTGAGCAAATGATAATTTCTGGTAGTATTTGGAGAGAGATTTGAGAAGATGCATTGCATTTTGGTGGTTGTTAAAGTGGTCCTATTGTGTCGATTTCTGTACGTAAAATTTGGTAAATTTGACTAAATTTTATATTATTTAGTTTACCGTCTATTCGGCAATATATACGTAAATTGACTCAACTGTAGTACAAAAAATAGTGTGGGGTTTTATTGATGTCGTAGATAAGAATTTATTGACGTAGGGTTTTATTGACTTGCAGCTGATCTAAATGAGTACACACTTGAAATGCACCATGGGAATTAGTCTGTGGATGGATTTTACATTGGTGGAACTGTGCAATGGGAAGACAAGTGTGACAGAGACGTTATCTCCTTATTTGACTTAAAAGACTTGACAGAGCAACTTGGCTACAATAGTCACAACCGAGTTTTGGTACAAGAAGAAACGAAAGGGTTGAATTTCTATTACCGAAGATGCTCTTTCAATGCAAACAGAGGAAAGGTAAAACCGCTCGACGAAGGTTTCGCAAAGGAAAAGCGAACTTAAAAAAAAAAAAAAAAAAAACAACAACAACAACAAAAGCATGAACAAAAGTAAAAAAATATTATTGAAACTGTGAGTTGCTTTCGAATCTAAGCCACGTGTCATTGTAACGAAGAACGGAAGGACCACAATTTGTATACAACAATTCCATCGTTATGCGATGTTCCAGTCTATTAATATTGTCACAAGCAAGTTTTACATAATATTGTATTTTTTAGACTGACATGTGTGACAGTAAACTCGTTCTATATAAGTTATTCTCGAACTGAAGAGTTTTGCTGTACAATAATAATTGACGTTGAACGAAGAATTCCTTGTATAAGTGGTCCTTTGTGTAAGAGCTCTTCTTCTTGCAAGTATAGAGCCCACCAAATTTTTTTTTTTTTTTTTTGAGTATATAGGTATTTTTACACTAAGGAAAGAGAGAGTTCGGTTAAGTCACATAATGAACAGCCTAATTTAGAGCACATCAATTTAAACTCTTAATTAAGGTTTAATATCATTTCTAATGCACTGAAAATTTTGGACTTATTAAATATAAAGGAAAACTAATGGAAAGGGCTTGAAAACTTTGAGCTTTATGATAAACTGTACTCAAAACTCTTATAAGTTTTCTTTCAAAGTAAGACCAAATTTGAATTTTAGTATAATATTTGAGTTTGAGGTAGAGCTTATACTAACAAGAAAAAATGTTATTCAACCGAAAACATTAAGCTTTGATTTTTTTTTACTACAACCATCTTCAATACACATACTTAAATCGTGAAAAACTCAAGTTTTGACTCAAATATTTTCTCTCGCAATACGAAGACTCAGATTTTAGATGTAACATATAATTCAAATATAAAAATATGTCTAAAATTTGAAAGAGCAAACCAAAAACCTCAAACTGGCCACTTTTTTAATTCAAATATAAAAATATGTCTAAAATTATAAATCTTGCATTGAGAATGCTCTTCACAAAAATTGGATGTCAGATCACTTTATTCAGATTAGGATTCTCTCCCCTCCTTTTTTTTTTTTTTTTTTCTCCTCTCTAAGTTTTTTTTTTTTTCCTTTTTTCACTTTCTAGTTTTTTCTTCTTTCTCTCCTTATAAATATGAAATGTTGGGCGTCCAAACTAGTGGTGTAGCCATGATTTTTAAATAATAGGAACATAATATCAACAAAATAAGCTTCATTGGGTCGAGCATCTAGAAGGCACGTGTCAATTCCTGTTAACATATGCTGAAAGTTTATGCCACATATGTCGTTAACTAATATTATTTGTAGAGGTTTGTCGAGCGTAGATACAAGATACTGTGGAGTAATGTTGAAGTCTTCCAAGACTTTTCAACTAAAATATTTCATCGAGCACATAATGTGCAAAATAGAGTCGGAAACAAGAAGAGAGAAAATTAAGACAAATATGATAGAAGAAAATAGAAGAAGTAGAATGAAGAGATTGTAATTTAATTTGTCTTAATAGGAGTCAAATACAATACATTAACAAATATACATGAGATTTATTAAGTTGTTGGAGCCAAAGATCATGACAGCCCTCTGCCACTGGTTCAAACATGAGTGAGAAATGGGAGGAAAACAAAAAAAAAAAAAAGTTGGAGAGAATCCTTGTCCCCTTTAATCTAGTTTGTTGTCGTATCTGTAATCTTAATTTATGAGTATGCATGAGCTTTGTACGAAAAGCAAAGATTTTCATTATTTCAATTGCTTATTAAATTGTGTTTCTTTTTCTTTTGAATTTTTTGTGAAATAAGAAAGTGAAAGGAAACATGTAGTGGTGGGAATTGTATCCGAAAGCAAGACTGATCGCATCACCTTGAACGCTGATTCGACCACTCAGTCACCACTCTCCAGAGTCTTATTCTTTTGAGGAATCTGAACACCTTTCCACAACTTTTGTTTTTCCAAAGGACAATAATGGAAGACTCACTGTATCTTATGGTCTAGCTGAAGACTTGTAGTTGTCTTCGTTTATTCAGAAAGGTTTCAAGTTCGGTAAAATTCTTGTTAATCGTATCAAGTTAACTATAAAACAAATTTAGTTTAAAATATGATTTCGTTTTAGGCTATCTAAGCTTGAATCCGAATAAAGTATACATGCATTTCAGGTCTGCGTCAAAACACAACCCCACCATGCACACTATCCTTGGTTACCATGCCTGGGATACGTATTTACGTCGTTGCTCGAATAGTATCAAACATGCAGCAATAATGTTAGGATCAAAAGTCGCCCATACGCATGTAAAATTTAGTAAAATTGTATCAATTTGATTACATAATGACATGATGACAATGA